TGCACTCGTGGCAATGTGGCCGAGTGGTTAACGTGTCAAGCTCCCATTCTACACTCTCATGGTTCGAATCCCGCTGAGGGTGTTGATAAGACAGATGCGAGGTCGATAACCTTCCTTTCTGCTATACAATCTTGGTCCAACTCTGGACCTGGCTCCAGTCACACTTGCGTCCCAGCTTGTTTTTCTGTTTTCCCTGCCTCTTCTTAAATTCAGGAAAACCAGTTTCGTTTTCAGTGAAGGTATGATAAAGTAAAAAAATTTCGTATTAGAGTAGAGTTTCGAGACTGCCAGTAAATCAGTAACATGAGATGTATTCACCATATTTCGTCTAAGGTAATGAAGGACTGGTAGTAGAATTTTCCCACAATGATATGAGTTGAGCTGACGTTTCCATTGAATTTCACATCGCCTTGCTTTCCCAAAAGTTGTTCTCATCCAGTCATTCATCACCTTAGACGAAATAGGGTGAATACATCTTAAAGTAAAAAATGCTCACTATACATAACTCCGATCCTTATGAAGTCAAATTTTTTTCTCCAAGGACTCCTATTGGTATTATCTCATAAAAATGGTCCATCAGGAAAACTTGTCTAGCGATGGCATAAACTGAAGAAAGGGTTGCCTAGGTAGGATAGATTGCCCATTCTTGCCCTCCTAGGCCTACTATTTCACTACTGATTCAACTACTGTTGCGGCCAGCACTGTCTGTATTGGAGCCTCGACGGAGCTCCCCCATCAATCGGTTTCATCATCCAGAAACCTCTCAGACACTAATTCATTGATTGAAACCATCATGCTCTTCGAGTTTTAACAGCCATCAAAAATCACGCTTGCCGCTTTCGCATTTGCCTATCCAGGCTATGCTTCAGCCAGACTAAGCGTAACTATCCTGTTTTCTGGACTTGATCACCTTCATACCACCTCGGCTATTTCACCTTCATTCTACCAGGCCTGCGTACGTGAGGGTATCGTGGTGTTCTGCGATTATTTCTGTTGTTGTCCGTCTTCTCCGGGTGTTTATTGGCAGTCTCCTTGTTTCCTGCGGTACTTAAGACCCAAAGCGAATTGTTTTTCCTTCCCTCCAGGGAGGCCTTTAAAGCACTTGCCATCCTTTCTCCACAATCTGGCTGTCTTGCTCGTCATTTATTTGCCCTTACGATCCGAACCGCATTCTGAGGCCAGCAAAAGCTTCGCGTCCATAAACCCATCTTGCCCACCTGAAATCCCCTTTTCAGGCATCGCCAAGCTGACCGGCCACATCTGGGCACCTCAGCGCGTCACTCTAGCCCCGAAAAGTGTCTTGGCTTATGTCGACCAAACTGAAGGAGTTTATGCCCGAAGTTCATTTTTTCCATCCTGTTTTAAGGCTAGGTACGCCTTCAGTGTGTATTTAAGTCTTCTTTATGCTTGCTAAGTATCACCCTGAATCACTAAGCCAGAATCTGCCTATATAAGAGGAGAGGCTTGGTCTTGAGTAATCTCTTAGTAGATTGATGCTGGCATCCTTTTAATTTCGTTTGGCCTCACTCGATACCGAAGATGGTTGCCTTGACCTTATGACTGTTGGATTGTGTAAAGAAGACCTCGGCTTATTGTCCTGCGAC